CAATGTAAAACCCTTGGAAGTTCTCTAGGCACCTCCAAAGTTCAGGGAATTTCAGTTTGATAACTATGATTTTATTCCAGTTATTGATTGAAATGATTTAAGTCTTGGTGTTATTCTCTGCAAGAAAATCTCTCTCTCCGTTCCTCTCTCTGTCTCTCTGTCTCTCTCTCTCTCTTTCCCATAGGTCTGAAAACTTTTTATTTGGATATTTTATAAAACTGTTAATTACAATTGAATTCTTTGAGTTAAAAAAAAAAACAGGAATTCCAATGACAGTGCATTTTACCGACTTTAACACATCTTGGACCATTTTGGTTTTTGTCCTAAAAGATTTCTAAGATTTATTTCTTATGTGTCGATGTGTGGACAGAGGAAGAAGAGAGCACGTGCTCCCCAGAAATGGAGTTGCAGGGAGCTGTGGCATGGGCATGTCTGGTGATCTGCAAGAGTAGCAAGGGCTCTTACCAGCAGAGCCTTCTCTCCAGTCCTAAATTCTATTCTAGATTTCAATGACCTCGCTCCTTCTTCCTGTACCAACACAGAGTTCTTTTTCTTCCTTACCAGCTGGCCACACAGGTGCAGGAGGCAAGCAGCCTTCCAGTTTACTCTGATGTAAAAGGGGGCAGCAAAGCCTTCTAGACCTGAGCCAATCCTCTTGCATCTTTCAAAGTTAAACAGCAAAAATAAGCAAAATACATCAATGTTTGTGGAGTGGACAGTGCATATTGGCAGCATAGGCTTCGTTACAACTTGCCTGCTTGTTTCTCCTGTTCAGTTTATTTGGGGGCCCAGGGACGTGGCTTATTGGTAAAGCATAAGGACTCAAGTTTGGATCCCCAATGCTCATGTAAAACTGGATGTGGTGACCCAATCTGTAATCCCAGAGCTTCTGTACTGAGATGGGAGACAGACAGGAGAATCCCCAGAAGCTTGTGGGCCAGGTACCCTGATGAATGCCACGGTGAGCAAGAGACGTTACCTCAAACAAGGTGGAAGGTTTGAGGACTGTCACTCTAGTTTGTCCTTTGGCTTCTACATGCATGCATGCCATGGCACGTACACACTCACACACACTCATATAATACACTCACACACAACACACTCACACAAATACACTCATATAACACAGACACACACAAAACACAGTCATAACACACTCACACAACACATTCAACACAATCATATAACATACTCACACACAACACACTCATGTAACACACTCACACACAACACACTCATATAACTCACACACACAAAACACACTCATACAACACACACTCACACAGCACACACTCACACACTCACACAGCACACACATAACACACACATGCACATGAATCAATTTAAATTTTTTATTTTGGGGGCAATGGATCATTGTGTTTTGGTGTTCATATTCTCAGAGGTAGGCATGTAAGAAGATAGCCCATGGGCCACAGAAGTCATAGAACAGGGCAGTTTTGTTTTGCCCTGATTCTATGCCATAGTCTTTGGGATTCAACAAAAGCCTAAATGTATATTATAACACCTTGGCAGGCTTTGAATTTCAATTTTTGTCTATCAAAGGTCCACTTTAGTTTCTTAACTATGCTATGGGAACAGGCAATACCTCAAGGGTAAAAGCCGAGCTTATCTTTCCTGCCTTTGTCAGAATCGTGTCACCACAAATCTCCACTCTTTGGTAGCTCTTTTGAGAGGACACAGATCTTCTTTAAAATTTCATTTTATTTATTTATTTATTTTTTTTTTTTTGGTTTTTCCAGACAGGGTTTCTCTGTAGTTTTGTGCCTTTCCTGGAACTCACTTTGTAGACCAGGCTGGCCTCGAACTCATGGAGATCCTCCTGCCTCTGCCTCCCGAGTGCTGGGATTAAAGGCGTGCGCTACCACCGCCCAGCTCATTTTATTTTTAATTATGAATATTCACATGGGTCTGTGCATGTGTGTGCAGGTGCCTGTGAAGGCTAGAGGTATTGGGTCCCTGGAGCTGTAGTTACCGGAGGTTGTGAGCCGCATGGCAGAGATGCTGAAAACCAAACTGGGATCCTATGCAAGCACGCTTAACCACTGAGCAACTTGGCCAGCTCAGCACATAGATTTTAAAAGTACTTTGTTCAGTATTTTTAGTGATTCTTAGTAGGAGAGTTAGCCCAAGTCATAAAGGCTGATAATGTCAGAAATTACATTGTTTCATGTGTTACTTTTGTTAAGTGTAAGCTGAGCTAAGCAATGCTGAGCAAAATTTTAAATAGCACACACACACACACACACACACAGAGAGAGAGAGAGAGAGAGAGAGAGAGAGAGAGAGAGAGAGAGAGAGAGAGAGAGAGTTTAAAATGGCAATTTCTTCCTCCATACCACATCTTTCTAATCTTTAGCTCTCTGCAAAGAAGCTCCCTTTTTGTTAAATTGACATAACATCTTTTTACTCTTTTCTCTATACAGTTTCAAACATGTATTTGTCCAAATATAGATTCTCTTTAAACTTTTCTTACTTTTTTTGAGGCAGGATCACATGCAGCTCAGGTTACATGAGCCCCTTTGTGGAAGATCATCTTGAACTCCGGATCTTCCTGCCTCCATCCCTAGTGCCGTTACGCCTGCTTAGCTGTACATCGTAGGGAGGTATCTTGGTCCACGCTGCAGTTTTGCTCTTCCTGGTTTCTCTCTTAAATAGTTACCAACTTTACTTAGTGCCATAATAAATAATAATAGCTAACATTTTAAAGAGCTTCCTCTGTAACAGACAGTCATAGGGGATTAATCCATTGATTAATTTGTTCATTGCAACAAATTAATACTTTTGTGAAGTACGTATTATAATAAATGTAATATGTCTACATAAAGACACCAAGCCTAATGGATGGAGTTTGTGAAGCCTGGATGTAGTAATTTTTTTTTTTGTAAGCAAGGCTTTTCTATGTAGCTGCTCAGTATGTAGACCATGCTATGAAGCCACCAACTTGCTTTGTTGGCCTCAAACTCATGAAGATCCACCTGCCTCTGGCTCCTGAGTGCTGGGATTAAAGATGTGAACCACCATTCCTGGCCAATCATTTTTAGTGTTTCTGAAATGTGTCCTCTAAGAAGTTCTACTATTTACAAAATGCTTTTTAGTGAAAACTAAAGATGGGGCTGGAGAGATGGCTCAGTGTCTAAGAGCACCTGTTGCTCTTATAGAGGACCTGAATTTAGTTCCCAAAGCCCACAGCAGGTACCTCACGCTGCCTTGTAGCTCCATCTCCAATGGCCTGACGCCCTATTTTTGCCTCTGGAAGTCTGTACTCATGTATACACACCCTCACACGATGCACATAATTAAAATAATTTTTTCTTTAAATGTACAGATATCCCCTGTATATACAGCATGCTAACCCCTGGCTTTTTTCATTGTTCCATAATTGTGAAAGGTATAACCACCTGGTTGATATAAGGCACCACTCTGTATTATTCTCTTAACTTCTTATGAATCTATACTTATTCTTTTAAAATAAAAGATCACAAAACATTTACATCACTTTATATACACTTTTCACAGAGAAAATCATAGAGACGGAGCCCAGATTAGTGTTTGTCAAAGGTGGTCTAAGGGGGAACAGTTAGGTGTGTTTTGCAAGTGGACAGGCCGGGGGACGTTGACTGTGCTGGTGGTGTAGCAAGCCTACACCTGGTAAATCACACAGAAATGCATACAGAGGGGTGCACAGAGTTGCTGGAATCTAGAAAAGCTCTCTGAGGTGTATCAGTGCCAGTTTCCCGGTTTGATAATGTAGGTATGCAAGTATTACCATCAGGCTGAACTAGGTAAAAGAGGCCCTCGCTGTCCCTGTAATTTTGGGACTCCCCGTGAATCTATGATTATAACGAATTAATAAAAGGAGAGTGAATGTTTACCAAGAATAATCAAACACTTCTCAAAAACATCTCTGGCAAATGCTGGTTTGTCATGATACTGTAAAATAAGTGCAGAGAGAAAATAATTTTGGTCAAGAATGCACCCCCTCCCCCAATAGATCAAACTTTTTAAGCGTGGCTAATAGGGAAGAAAGGAAGGAAAGGAAGGAACACCAACTACTTTCAGAAATGAACTAAAATCTAGGATTTTGAATTGAGAGAAACGAGTTTCCCTCTTTTGTGATATTTCTTTTTCTTTCTTTAGTTAAAGTTGATTTCACCAGTTTTAAGATTCTTCCCATGGTATGTAATAAAAAATACATGTGAAGTAATAATAGCTAAATGTACCTGCCTGTTAGTACCCATCTGGCACCATTTTAAGTTATTACACCTATAAACAAATTTCAACCTCAGAACACATTGCTGCAGATTTTTAAGATTCCCATCTTACTGATGAGGACAATGACTCGTTTCACAGGCAGTAATGTTGCACCAGGTTACATATAACTTTTCTACAGCTCAATTTCAAACCTACTTAAGCCATAGCTTTGGACTCTTAAATTTTTCTTTAATTAAACAGTAGTATCTTAGTTCTTGCCATTAGTATTATTTGATGGAGTATTTTTTCGAGTCAATGTCTTATTTGCTCGTAAGTTCTATTTTGTTTACAAAGCTGGGGTGGGGTGGAGGAAGCAACAATAACTTTTGGAAAACTGCAATTCCTTTGCGAACCTGGGCAACTTAGTAAGACTCAAATTTTGTCTTGGGGATATCCAGCCTATGCAAGATGCTAGATTCAAAGTCTACCACCAAACCCAAAATCCACCTTTCTGGCTTTTTTCAAGACAGTGTATCTCTGTCCTGGCTGTCCTGGAACTCACTCTGTAGACCAGGCTGGCCTCGAACTCATCAAGGTCCCTTGAAGAGCACATGTGTAAGTCATCTTCCCTATCGTTCAGGCCAGGTCTCCTAGGCCAGGAGGACTTCGGAGGTAGCCAAGGTGCTCAGACCTGGGGGGCGGGGCCAAAGTCTGGAGGCCGTTGGGCGCACGCGGTAGTTCACGTGCAGCCACTTCCGGGAGTTAGCTCGCGGTGGCCCCAGCCTGGGTCCAGGCAGCCTTTGAGGCGTGCTCGACTCTTCCAAGTGGTCGCGATGGCTTCGCGGTATGACAGGGCAATCACCGTGTTCTCCCCGGACGGACACCTTTTCCAGGTGGAGTATGCCCAGGAAGCGGTGAAGAAAGGCTCCACCGCGGTAAGCTGCTCCCGGCCGCCGCCGCTCCAACCCCGGGCCCTCCAACCCCGGGCCCTCCAACCCCGGGCCCTCCAACCCCGGGCCCTCCAACCCCGGGCCCTCCAACCCCGGGCCCTCCAACCCCGGGCCCTCCAACCCCGGGCCCCCCAGCCCCAGTCCCCGACCCGGCGGGAGAGCCTCGTCCTTCCCTGCAGCAGATGCAGCTTCGGGTTGGCGGTGGAGGTCACACGGTACAGTTCAGCCCTTTCTCTCCTGCAGCGGCCCCTGTTTAAGTAGAAGCCCAGGTTTGAAGTCACTGATAAAGACACCGAGAACGTTCTGCCTCGGTGCTCAGGGCCCCCTGCCTCAGGAACCCACTGACCCAGGGTGAAGTTAATAGTTCTTTCATGTTGGAAGCCGTTGTTTAATAATGATAAAAATTAAAGCCTGTCCAGGCCTATCCCCCCATCCCATCCCAAAACAAATCGAATACGGTATGTTAACGAGAGGAACAGTCGGAAATGCTAATCCAAAGGGCTCCATTAGGTTGTCTCAAATGTCAGCCTCAGCATTTGGCATTCTTTCAATGTTCCCAACCCCCAAAGTCCTCACTTTTGTACTACTCTGTGCTTGTGTACGTGTGTGTGTGTGTGTGTGTGTGTGTGTGTGTGTGTGTGTTTTCAAGAAAGACTGGAAATTTCGTGAGATTCTACCCTGTTTTAGACTATGGATCCACATAACCCAAATGTTTTAAATACTCAGGGCAGCTGTAATACTGCGGCCAAATCGTAACTGAGTTGAATAACCATCGTAATTTATGAAAATTTTAAAGGATGAAAGTGCCCCGGTCACCAACGATCTGTCACCCCAGCCTTCTGAGTCCTAGTCTGTGAATGCAGGATATTATCTTCTTAAAAAAAAAAAAAACTCTCAAATTTCATGAGTATTTTCGCTGTGTGTTTTGGAAATTGAGACAGTAGCTATGAAAACACACAGAACATCTCTCAGACTACAAGTGTCTGCTTTCTTTCACTTCTGTATCAACTTGATAATGGAAAGAAGTTAATTCACTTTCATGGTTAATCTATCAAATGTAAAGTGGCAAAAATAATTACAAAGAAGATGATTTTTTTAAGTATTTTTCTATTTAAACGGGCCCACTAGTTAAGCTCTGTTAGAACTGTAAGTTTAAGGAAAGCCTGGTGTAGTCTAAACCAAAAGGGTACCATTTTGATAAAAACAAAAAGTTATATAGTCCCCAGCATGGTGTGTAGCATATGGTTAGAAAATAATGCCCAAGTTTTAGAGCCTTAGATAAAGGGAGTAATGGGAGAAGATGGGGGTGTAATAAGAAACCACATTGGCTCATTTAAAATGTTTTAAGAATGCTATAGAACTGATTGATAGTTCCTTTGTAATGAGCTGTAAAAGGCTAAGGGCATAAAAATACCTGTAGTGGGCATTTTTAAAGATACAGTGGAAGGCTGAGATTCTTACCTCAGGATTCTGAAATTACATTTGCATCTTTTTATGGAGCTATTCATTGTGTTTCCTAGTGGGTGCTATGACCTTTTACCCAGGATAAAACTGCATTTGTTTATTAAAATAAGCTGTTAAATATTGTGTCTGTAAACAGCAGATATGATGAGTTTCAAGTAAGCTGGACTGATCAGTTTTGGCCACTATGTAGACATGATATTACTTAGCAATATAAAAATTATATGGGCCATAATTAGAGAGCACAGGCTCTGCTTCCTGCTTGATAATTGTCTAACAGTGTGAAATGGGGCCAGAGGCTCCTCTCTTTTTGGTTAGGTTTCCTTTCCTATGAAGACAAATGTGTTTGAATGGTATTTTGGAAAGGTACCACCATCTTGAGAGAAGATGTGAATCACAGCGTTGTCATGAAAAAATAAGATTCATTCTCATTCCTCCTCTTATCCTTTCCCTGACCCCAAATTCTTACTGGGGCTCTGGTTTCACTTATCAAATCCCAGCACTGTAGTCTTAACTTTCTACTTCTTTAATTAAGGTGTCAATTCTTGGTTTCACTAATGAATACTTCTGCCACTATACAGGGAAGAAAGGAAACACACACACACACACACACACACACACACACACACACACACACACACACACACACTTGGGTTTTCAAGACAAAGTTTTTCTGTGTAGCCCTGGCTGTCCTGAAACTTGCTCTGTAGACAAGGCTGGACTCAGACTCAGAGATCTGCCTGCCTCGGCAGCCCAAGTGCTGGATTTAAAAGCGTGCACCACCACTGCCTGTAGTTTGCTTTTCTTTAATGTTGATTTGTGTCTTTTATTTCTTGGCATTGGAAATCAAACCCAGGGCCATGCACGTTACATACGTGCTGTACCATTGAGCAGTACTCTCCACCCTTACTTATCTTTTAAGAATCTTCATACTTAGGCTGAGAAATAGCTCACTGGGTAGAATGCTTGCTGTGTAAGCACAAGGACCAGAGTTCAGTCTAGAACCTGTGTCTAGATAAAACACGAAGTGGTGGCACATGTTTGTCATCAGAGTGGAAGCAGGAAGGTCCCTTGGGCTCATTGGCCAGTCAACCTAGCCTAATCTGATGGGAAGCTGCCCTGTGAGTGCTAGGAACCAAACTTGAAGTCTCCACAAGGGCAACAATAAGTGTTTTTAACTACTGAGCCATTTCTTTTCTTTCTTTTTTCTTTTCCGGAGCTGAGGACCGAACCCAGGGCCTTGCGCTTGCTAGGCAAGCACTCTACCAGTGAGCTAAATCCCCAACCCCCTGAGCCATTTCTTTAGTCTACAGTTTCTTTATTTCTTTGTCCTTTTGAAATTATTATTTAAGATGTGTTTGTTTTATTTCTGTGTATGACTGTGTGTGTCTTCATAAGTTTATGTGCACCATGTGTGTGCTGGTGCCCTCAGAGGCCAGAGAGGGCATAAGATCTTCTGGAACTGGAGTTACAGGCAGTTGTGAGCTGCCTGATGTGGGTGCTGGAACCAAACCTGAGTCCTCTTTGAGCGTAATAAGTGCTCTTGACTACTTAGTCATCTCTCCAGGCCCCAGTAGAGTTTTGTTGTTGATATGGGTTTTTTTACTAGTAAAGTAAACATAAAAATAACTCCTGCTTCATAGGCTTGATGTTTGTTGAAAGAAGTAATACAAAGATGTAATTCACATAAACTAATAAGTTGTATCCATTATTATTTATGATTCTTTTCTTTTTGATTCAGTTTTGTCTGTGGTCCTTCCAGCATGTCAATTTTTAAGACTTAGAAATGCTAACCTGGACTGTAGGATTTCACTATGGAAGTGATAGACTCGATCCCTGTTCTCAAAGAATTTACCCTCTTGCAAGAAATTAAGAAGATTAAGAAAATAGTCCAGATGGGAATGTTGGCACATGTCTGTAAATCCAACACTCAGGAAGCAAGAGCCGGAAGACTGCAGGTTCCGGGCCAGACTGGGCTGTGTAGGGAGACCCTGTGTAAAAAGGAAAGTCCTCACAGGGCCTGAAGGAGTGTAGTAGTAGAGAAGGTACGAGATGTGACAGACACTGCGATTGTAAGGGAAACCCTCCTGAGAAAGCGCAGTTAAGAAACCATCGGAAAAGGGAAGGCGGCCAGGTGGAGAGGTGGAGGGTGAAAGGAGGAGAATTTTAGACGGAGGAGATCCTGTGTGGGAAGACCAGGCACACCAGACAGCTCTGTTACACAGAGGGAACACATTCAGAACTGCTGAGGAAAAGAAAAGGAAGAGATGAAGCTAGAAGCCAAGGCCAAACCACAGAGTACCTTTAAGCTATTACAATGAGAATGTGCTTGATCCTGAAGGATCCTCAAAGGGTTTTGATGTGACTATTTTCACTTTTTAGGTTATTGCTATTTTCTTCTCAATACACAGTATATGTGTCCACTCTACTCTTGGTCATGGGACTCAGTCCACCACTAGAGATACTGGTAACTTTTCTCCTCTGGGGCAGCTGACAGGATATGAGTCCCAAGATGCTTGTGGCTGTGTTTGTTTCCATCGAGAGGATGCCTGTCTGCTTCAGAACAAAGGACAGGTCTTACGCACAGGGTAAGTGTTACAGATCCTGGATCTTTTTGCCCTGGGTCTCCTCTCCATGCTGTCCTGGTTTGCTTAGTGAGGAACTGCTCCTACCCATACAGAGTAGGAAGTGAAAGAATACTGACTTTTGGCCAGGAGGTGGCGCACACCTTTAATCCCAGCACTCGGGGCCAGAGGCAGTGGATCTCTGTGAGTCTGAGGCCAGCCTGCTGTACACAGTGAGTTCCAGGACAGCCAGGGCTACACAGAGAAACCCTGTCTCAAAAAACAACAAAAAAGAATGGTGACTGAGATACACCCCCCGCCCATTCCTTCCTTTCTCCTTCCCTCTCTTCTTCCTCTTCCTCCCTTCCCCTCTCCTTTCTGCACTCTTTCCAAAGATTTCTCAGGCAACATTGTGAGCATCAGATTGAATGAAATCATAACTAGAATCAAAGAGAACAGTTACATGTCTGTGATAATAGTATAAACAAAAGGTGTTACTAGTGTTTACTACGGTTGGAACAAAAATGGTAAAACAGACTCCAGAGAAACATGTCATGATTATGTCTTTGGTGTTGGCCAGGGAAGAGGAAGATCTAAGATGGAGCCTCTGTTTCTGAGTTCAGCTGCAGTTTTCTTTAAGGACGTGGAACACGAATTTTGAGTGGGACTATAACCAATGTGGTGAGATTGAGGCGTTTCTGAAATTGCCTGTAATCCTCACCTCTGTTTAATGGCCCCTTGGATGGATGATGCTAATGACTTACTTCTAGACTAGACAGAAGTGATGGAATGCCACTCCAGAGGCCAAGTAACTCCTCTTACCCATCTTTGCTTGCTCTCTCTTGCTTTCTGTTGCTCACTGTAAGGGAGCCCATTTGCCATGTTGTGAGTGGCCACACAGAGGCCTGAGCAAGTGCATTCAGAGAAGCAGCTGTTCCAATACGGGACAGAGTATGGTGG